GAAAACCCCTTCTTATGTTCTACGACAACCTCGTACTCAGTAGCTTCCACCTCCTTCTTCAATTTCTTATTCTCATTCTCTATTTCTCCAATCTTCCTCACATTAGCAACAATAACTTCTTGACAGGCTTTATTTTTCTTATAAAGCTCCACCATCTCGCCTTTCAAGCTCTGCATGTTCCCTTCATGGTCCTTTGCTTTCTTTTCCAACGCCTTTACAGTCTCTGCTTGAACTTCTTTTTCTTTTTCTAACAAACTCACCTTTTTTAAAAGGTCCTCCACCTTAGCCGCATACGTCTTATTTGACCTCACAGAAATCTCAAATGCCTTTGAGTTTTCCTCCAATTTTTTCTTCAAACTACCAACCTCAGCATTTAATGACCCAACCTGGGCATTCTCGGTCCTCAGCTTAGACATTAATGCAACATTTTTATCCCACTTTTTCTTCCAATGATCTACCACAACGATAAATCTTTGCAAAAACACCTGCACGAAATCTAAACCTTGGATAGGACCAACTTTTTCAATCAAAGCCTTATCAGCGATATAGGCTGGATCTTCCTTGTAGAATGCGTCTGCCGTCAACTCGGCATGCCAGAATGAAGTCACATCGGGTGACATACTTACATGATCCAACCTCGCTAGAGGATGCTCTATATCATATCTCTGATGTAAGGATCTCGGATGAGTGTTTGGACCAGATTGGGACGACCTCCCTTGTGAAGTCGGTGAATTAAAGCCAAGTTGAGCAATTGCCGCCTCCAAGTTTGACACCAAACCTTCTGAAGACTCGGGAACTTGTGCATTTACCAACTTCAAAAGCCAAGTTCACAAAATTGAAATCAGAATAATCAACATAATTACATAACATTTAATAATGATGAGAAATATACCTTTTCTTTAGTCAAATCACTAGCAGGATTTTTCTCAACCTGCTTCTGAATGGTATCTTCTTTTTCAAGATTAATCACAGCCTTTGAGTTTGTTGTTTCTTTCACAACTTCTTTCTCGGCGCACTTGGATTACCGACATGGTCGACAATCTTAAGTCCCTTATTGTGAAGGTTCTCGTCTTTCACCTTTTGCTTCCTCACTCTTTGCTTGGGAATCGCTGCATCTGGGATTTCTTCAATGTTGAATTTCCCCTTTAGCTCGCGCCATTTGCTCCTTCCCATGATCTCTGCACATCACAATAATCAATAACATATTCAATTACATGACTTTAATTACATATAACTATTATTATTACTTACTCTCTAGGTCATCTTGTGGATTTTGAGATCTCGCAAGCATTAAAATAGCTTTGCTCTCTAATGGCCGAGCTAGCTTTTCCAACTTTTTTATATCTTCCTTCTCGCTAGGTGACAACACCAACCCCTCTGACCCCGAGAACCTCACAGGTTGTGATTGCCAACTTAGAGGAAATTTTGGTTCCCCATTCCAGTGGAAAATTGGATCCAAACTCAGATTTTCATGAGATGATTGTACTTTGAAAAACTCTTCTTTAAAATTCTTGTATGATTGTGCAAAAATTTGAAATAAACCCCATGGGAACTTCCACTCAACGACACCCACCCATACGGTGGTTCCCCCAATTTTATTTGATAAAAGTGCATAAATACTCCTAAGCTCAACTTTATCCCCATTACTGCACACAAAATTTGGAATACACGTACGAAACCCCAGCTATTCGGATGTAATTGACTAGGTGCTACATTTATCTTTTTCAGCAATTCACACTCGAATGGGGTAAACGGGATCATCACACCTAAATCCCTACACAGACATTGATACATATATATGTACGGGGGCGTAGTAGCCACTTCAAAAAACACTCGTTCCTCCGGTGCACAGGGTTCAATAGAGACACGTATTTCTTCTCGAAACGTTCTAGCTCTTTACGCCCACCTCTTCATTTTTATTTGTCGATATCTTTCTTTTCCTCAGCTCTTTCATTCTCACATCACTCAAAGCTTGGGGGGCTTATGTACCAACCTGACTCAAGCCGAGCTTAGCCGAGTCCACAAACTAACTTGACCGAGGTGACCTCTCAGACAAGCTGAAATAAAGCCATGAAACGCTGACATGTCACAGGAGACATCATTGAGACACCTCAGCAGGTTGACAACGTCAAGGACAATTCAACCACCTTCAGAAAATAACCACATAGCAGTTACACGGTTACTCGGACAACCACCACAGGTAATAATATAACCAATACGTGAAACTGGAAACCCTAACTAACTTGATCGTCGAAGTCCTTTTTGCAGGTACATCCGAGACGCCCAAACAAGGAGACCGGAGAGAAAGAACTCGACCTATTGATCAACCTCATACAACCTCGGTTGGACCCAGCAAGGAAGACGACTTATCCGAGTTAGGGAGATGACCTGATTCGTGTAAGTACAACAATGTTAGAACCACAATAGATGATGGTCCAGAATTTATAACATTTTTAAAGAACAAAAACATAATATCATTAAGTTTTTGAGTGAACCTTACAAATCCTAAAAATATCATTAATAATAAGCTACTTTATTCTTCTGACTTCATTAATAAGTAAAACATTATCTACAATTTTTTTTTATAACAAAACACAACCTTTCATAACTTTGCCAACACCAAATAACATAAAACAAAGGGTCATTATGAGAAGAAGAAAAAAACATTTCCAATGTCTCAATAAGTACTAAAATTATCATTATATATTCAACCTAACCAATATAAAATGTATGTCAAATCTCTTTGAAAATTTCGAGAGAGAAAAGACATGAATGAAATTTAAACTTAACACAAAAAAAAAGCAAAAAAAATTGTTAAAACTCCCAATTATTAAAAGTGATTATACTTGTTAATCATTCTATTTAATTGTTATAAAAGATATTTAACCCAAAACATTTAGCAAGAGTTTTGTCTTGAATAGAAACTCGTAAATAGTTAAAAATTTGGCAAAATATTTCAAACCAAATTACTTTGAATATTATTCTAGCTATTATATATATACCCTCCAAATACTGTAACCATATCTCTAAACATCCACAAATGCGAATAAAAAGACACAAAATTTACACCCACAAAACACTCCTTCCATATTACACAAAGAACATCTCATCTTTATGACAAAAGTTGTTTAAAGTTCTTAGTCAACTTTAAACCTAATGCATTACAATGCTTATGTCCAAACTACGTTTATGAATTTTGTGATGATTGTTATTTGTCTATATCCTCTAATGAATTGTCTTTCTCTTTATATATATATATATAT